GTGTAAAATACATCGCAACAAAATATTTCGGTGCAGCGTCGGACCAAATGTGTGCCGTGTGAACAGGGCTTTAGTGACAACCTTGGTATGGTTGGGAGAGAAGCTAAATTTAGAGTTGTTTCGTTGAACTTAGAATTCTCACTGTATGTCAAGCTATACATGCACATTTGGTGCATTTTTTCAAAATCTCATCATCTGTAAGACATGGATTTTAAAGAGCAGTGAATGATGAGTTTGAATTTATATTACATTTCTTTGATCGCAGTTTCTGAGATTACCGGTGTTTGTATGTGTGTGTGTGTGTGTGTGTGTGTGTGTGTGTATATATATATAGTGTTCAATTATATATATATACACACACACACACACACACACACACACACACACTTTTTTTAAACAGAATTTGAAATACCAATAAGGCAATAAAAACAGATTGCTGGTATATTCATACTTAACTCATGAACACTAAACAGTAAGCATGAAACACAGTATGAATTAAACAAACGTTTTTGCAAAGGTTTCCAAATAACACAGCAACATTTGCGTCTGCGGGATTGTTAAGAGGAGAGAATTCCGTTTTTAAAGATGCTGTTTTTAAGGACAATTATTTTGGAAACATTTAAATGAAGAGTTTTTAAAGATGAAAGGACACATCAACAACTTGAGCAATACAATTTAGGAGTCTGAGCGTGACATTCCAAAGGATGCTCCTCCCTGATGCATCCTGCTGTGTGACAATATTTACCGGGTGCCTCATAAATCATTACTTTGCTTGGAATTAAAAGCCTTGTACAATAAATGTGCATATTTAAGGTCAAAACTTTAATGATTGATTAGTTGCAGTTGCAAATGTAACCTTACTGGTTGACATGTGGTCAAATTCATGATTCAAATTTTTGCACATTGCTTGGGGGACTGATTTGGAAACAGGTAAGCCATAAGATGACAGCAGGTTTTCATGGAGATACTGGCCAGCCACAAGAGAAGGGGAGTATTTTCCAGCATACACCTGTATTTATGATCGGCTGAGGCGGTAACCAATCAAGTTCAGAAGAGCACATGATACTATTTACATTTGATTTTAAAAAAAGCACATCAGAAAATACACTTGAGAGGCAGATGACGGAACAAAACAAAACAAAAAGCATCAGCGTGGTCTGATCTTAGCAGTCTCTGACCCTCAGATCTCATTCTGCTCATTGGGATGGCTGGAGTGAAGTACTGTATTTTCACTACTAAAAGGTGCCATTAAAAGTCTTAAATTTTTCTCCAAAATGGACAGGACGCCTTATAATGCGGAGCGCCTTGTGTATGCACCGAGTTCCAAAGCCTGACTGAGAGCCAACACGCTGTTTATATAGAGAAAAGGTGCAAGTGAGTGAGGACAGGCATGCGGCGAAGAAGTCCGCCAATCAGTGAAGGGTGGCCGTGTTTTATATATATATAGAGAGAGAGAGAGAGAGAGAGAGAGAGAGAGAGAGAGAGAGAGAGAGAGAGAGAGAGAGAGAGAGAGAGAGAGAGAGAGAAGGCGCGGAAGTGAGTGAGGACAGGCATGCGGCGAAGAAGTCCGCCAATAAGTGAAGGGTGGGCGTGTAAGTGGACGCAACGAGAGGGAACCTGGCGTTTTTGATGGATTACCAGTACTTGCACAATTGTTCAATTCGGATACAGAAGATGAGGACTTTGATGGATTTCTGGGTGATGATTGATCGAAAAACGTGAGTACATTGTAAGATGGCTAAATAAAGTACAACCAAACTCAGTTTTGCTTCCGTTGCCTTTTTAAAAATGTGTTTTTAGCGTGTATCCGTATGTCTTAGCATGCTACCGTATGCTTCAAGCTAACGTGTTTTTAGCGTGCGTGCATACATGCCGTATGTTTAAACTGCCCAATAATACAGTGCGTTTTGTGTATGTTTCAAATATAGAAATAGCACCCGTTACTGAGACTGCGCCCAACAATACGGTGCGCCATATGGTCGTGAAAATACGGTACCCCACTTTGTCCACAGACAAAAGCGACAACCTAGGAGAAAGCCTTTAGTCCCCCCCCCAACAAATCAACCGTTTAAAAAATAGTTAATATATTTTAAAATGGTGTATCGTTATATATTATCGGCATTGCTGTATTTAACACACTTATTGTGCAGTGTGCATGGCACTTAAAAGGTTGACGCAGTGTTGTAGACTGTTACGCTGTTGCTGAATTTCCCAAGTAATCAGACACGTGCGCAAACCCTCCCTGGCTGCGCTATTCTGAACGAAAACAACGAAATTACCAAAACTAAATTTTAAAAACATTTTCCTATTTTTTTTTTAAACTAACCAACTGGAACTTTTAATGTCTGAATTTATTTAAAATTAACTATCATCTTGGTCAATTCATTTCAAACATGAGCTTGGGTTTGTAATAAAGTATCTAAATACTGTAGATTGTTTTCAATCCCACGATCCAAATGCATTTTTGTTTGTGCGCTATTTTGAAGATTGAGAGCTGGAGGGTAAGATGGGCTGCGAATGGAAACATGAAGTTATATTGAGTAAAAGAAATTGTCACAAGCGCGTGCACAAGTGCATGACAAAAAGAAATGCATCACTGTCATCTTCATCAGTTACATATAATTTGTGGGTTCTTGCATACATGAAAAGTCCCTTTCAGTGTTGCTGTTTTTACAATTATCTAAAACACTGCAATGCTTTTAGTGTGCGCAACTGATTTTTGGTGGGCATTACTTTCAGGGATACGATGACACCAATAACTGTGATTATGAAATGCTTGCGTCGTTTCATCTTGAGATAAAACAATGTGATCCACAACTGTTAACGTAGTATGCAGTACATCACAGTAAGTGCCATTGAAATTGCTGATCAACAAAGCTGCTGTTTAAAAAAAAAAAAAACATGGGCAGCAAAATGGATGGTTAACAATTAGGCTGAAGGGGAAACCTTTAGATGTTGCAATGGGGTAACAACTGTAGAACCTAACTGCCAAAGCCATATTCGATCACATGATTAATATCAATCAAATGATTCGATAACTGATTGTGTACCACCTCACTGGTGCATGACAGCGATTCATACAAAAAGGAGTAGAATGGAAGATGAGGGGTTGTAAAGAAGCTTATTGCGAAACAATATTGGTACCTGAAGGCATTTATAACATTCTTTCTTGAATAGAGGGGGACACTGTGGGGATAGCAAGAAGACAGGGAGTAAGGAACCATTCCCTGCTGGGGTCAATGCATCTCATGGTCATTGCACTTGCTGAACATTCATCAAAGTCAAACGGAAGCCTTACCGATTTCTGTTGAAAGGCCGAGTGATCGTAAGGGAACCAGATCCAGTTTTGTACTGTCCAGAGCCGTATCCATTCACAAAGCTACTGTTGGGAAAAGGCGCCTGGAGAGACAAGGCCATTTGTAAACAATGCAGTTGCAAGAAAAGGTACGTGAACCCTTTTGAATTGCATAAATAGGTTCATAGTTGTGTTCTGATCTTCATCTAAGTCACAACAATTAACACAAACAAGCTTGAACTAATATCATACAAACAATTATAGGTTCTAAGTATGTACAAACTAAAGTGCAGATTGCAACAATAATCCAAACAAATCAGCCCTGCCGCTTCCTACATATCACTTTCTTTTCCTTAAAAGTGCCACTATCGGTAATTTGAAGAAGTTATTGAATCTCTAAGAATTTGACATGCCGTTTGTTTCCGTATTTTCCACATTTCCGCAAGGTCAACCCAGAGCAAACGGCACATGGAACTTATTTCAATAACTTTTTTTCTTTGATTTTATAACCCAATATTAGTTTATTTGTTTTGTAAATGTTCAATACAGAGGAGAAAAAAAACTGCTGTTGTATTATATGAGGCTGATCGGATGGGAATGGGTGTCCTACATGAAAAGGTGATAGATCACAATTCACGTAGGAGTAGACAAGGAAAGCCAAGGTAATTAACACGGCCTGATCGTGTGCGTCTTGACCCTCAGATCTCATAATCTCATGGTTCATCGGGGTAGGAGTGAAGACTGACTTCGAAAGGGGGAGGAGGAAAAAAAGAATTTGATAGAAAAAGATAGATAGATAGAAGAATAAGGACCGAAGCCAGTTACTTCACACCAGACTCCCTCCATGCGTCGTGATTTCATCACAGGGTCTGACATAAGCATTGACACAGTGTACACATTTTCTGTAAGGACGCCGGGAGTATGCAAATATTGAGTTGAAATTAGGGTGGGATATGCAGACATCCTAAGCAGAGAAGACTTGTGGTGTCGAAGCACTTTTGTTCAGTGTGTCATGATAGTGCGAGATGGTGGCCAGCACTAGCGTTGGGAATCTCTGGCACAAGGCCAATTCGATACATATTAAATAGAAGGATTACGATTCGATTAAAAACAATTATTTGAGGGCGGAAGGGTTCCATACCATTCGGCTCAGTATCTGAGTGTTACAATTCGATTCGATCCGGTATAGTTTTTATATCTAATACATTTTCATACAGTATTATACATCAGAGCTGGCGGCCATTTTAGTGGAAATGGTTACAACGAACTACCGCTATAACGTACGGATTCTTTATGTCCCTCAAGGTACGCTGTAACACGATTCGACTGTAAAAAGTCCATAAACTATGTGGAAGGCTCTTGACGTATAAGAAATGAGACCAAGCTAATTCATGAAAACTCCCTCCCCCCCTTTATAACTTGTACAACACATTTGAGTTGGGAAGTAAAAACAAACAATTCAGATAACATACAAACACCTTCCATATAAATGGGCATGTGGTTGCGCTCAGAATTTAAAAAAGTAAAAAAAATCTTTCAAATTTATGGTAAATGGAGGTCAACACACACTGAAGTGCCCCTTATTAACCGCGCAACAATTAACGTGGGAGCAAATGAATAATTCTGCTGAGGACTTAAAATCCCCTCAAAAATCATTACGCTGTGGGTGGAACTGATGAGTTGTTCTTTTCATGAATGAAGAAAAGAGGGCTTGCAGCAAAAAGGGCATTTTGTTCATTCTTGGCAAAAAAAAAAAAGGCATATTCTGGAGCACCACTTGGGGGTCTAAAAAGAAAAAAAAGTATTTAAATAGGCCACAGCAATTTATTTTATAGAGAAAATAATGTGCGGAATCAATATTTCAGGGTTTTGCACACGGTGCATTTCAAGTAAGGACCTCCATTGCACATACATACTTCTGAGTGACTGAGTTGTGGGTTGGGCAATTAATGGAAATTTAATCCTGATTTCGATTTTGGCTTTTCACGTTCGTCAAAACATAATCTAATGAAGCAGTGTGTTTGCAAGTTACCTACTTTGTGAAAGTACCCTGCATGCCCCTTGCTGCTTGGGCAGCAAGCGTTTGACCGGTATGTGATTCTGCCCTCCCAGCGCATGCTTGAAGCTGTTTTATGATACCCAGTTGGAGTTAACTATAATATAGGGCAAGGTGCAGAATATGTATGTGTTCATCCCGGCAGCTAAATGTCTTGATCAGATAGACTGGACGTAAGGCTACCTTCAAACTGCAGGGTATGATTCCCAAATCAGATTTTTAAAATGTATTCATTCACATTATAAAAACAAATGTGAATGGAAAGCCTCCGTGATGTGACACGCATACGCACGAGCCAGTGTTTACGGAAGTTAAAATGATCGAACATGTTGGGGCTCATTTTATCATCTCCTATTTGCAGAGGTGCAAGGTGAGGTAGAAATATTTGGGGGAAATGAGGCGAGGCGTTGATGTCCCCGCATCATGGAGAAATCGACTCAAGATGACATCACATCATTGCTACAGGTAACAAATGAGCTGTTTGCGTGGCTGAACTACTTTTTATGATCATACTCTATACAGAATGTTGATAATATCCATCTGAAGAGGACAGTTTACACAGTTTCAATCTTTATTTTAGAATATCACTTGTTCTGCCTCTCACCCATAGTTTGGTGAAATGTTTTGCACTAATGCTAATAGAATGTATTATTATTCTTATTAATCTGCCCAAGAGTTACAAAGAGAATATTGACGTTGATTATTTTATAACCAATGTTTTGCAGTGTTTTAGTTTTGAAAATAATTTCCCAAAAGTATATTTACTTCATGATTCCATTAATTTGCTTCATAACTGGCCATTTTTTTAAATGCCCTCAGAAAATCAACTTTCACGCCGCGGAATCAAGAATTAATCTTTGCAGAATTAGGATTACGCTCTTCTGACTCAAAACATTTTCTCAGCAGATTCCTGGAGGGACTACACAACACTGTTCAAGCTGTGGTTGTTGAAAATGCTCTATGATTCAAATTGAGTTGCTCACGCGCTTGCGCATTTGCACGTGTGTGCGTGCGCTACAACCCCTGGCTAAAATTAGAAAGTCACCACTCCTCTATAATGATCATTCAAATGCTTAATTTAGGAGAATAGTGTGAATTTCACAGATGTTCCACAAAACATTTTGATTCCAAATGGCTTTAAGACACACGAAGAGAAGGAAAAAAAATGTTGCAATTGGTCACAAGCATGTAGGGGGGGGGAAAGCATCGCATCGCTCAATTAATTCTGGGGAAAAATGATGGGACCATGAAAACAAAATCAAAATGCAAAAAAAAACTACCCCGCGAATACTTTCTTGCACCACCTGTGACTTTTATAACAGCTTATCACCTCTGAGGCATGGACTTAACCAGTGCCAAACAGTGTTCCTCAATCTGTTTCGAATTTCCTGTGATTGCCGTTATTAGTTCAGCTTGGCAGGTCGGAGCCTTGTCATTTACCGTGTTCTTTTATTTCTGTTACTGATGATCGATTGGATTGAGATCCAACCTCTTTGCAGGCTATGATATTGACATTACAGAAGGATGGTCTCTCCTATTTTTGCTCTCTGGCAAGATGCATTTCATGTTGCCCCATACCATCAATAACTGTGGAAATTTGCCAGTTTTATTCATAAATCTCACTGGAACAGCTCCAAACAAAAGTTCCAGCATCATCGCCTTGTCCAATACAGATTCATGATTCATTTCCGATCTGCTGATCCTCACAAGGGTCGCGGGGGGCGCTGGAGCCTATCCCGGCTGTCTTCTGGCAATAGGCGGGGGACCCACTGAACTGATTGCCAGCCAATCGCGGGGCACACTGGAATTGGACCCAGTACCTCTGCACTGTGAGGTTGACGCGCTAACCACTGGACCACCGGGTCACCGGACTTACGATTCGTCACTTCAATATTACTGTCATCCAGTCATCCACAGTCCAGGAGAGCTGAACTTTTTCCTTTAGCCTTACCTTTTTTATGTTGAGGTGTTAAGGAATCCTTGTAAGGATAAAGCAGTTCAGAAAATGGATGTATGGATGAGGTGTTAAGGATGGTTTTCATTTGGCTTTTCGCACCATAAAACGTAATACTGTAGTGGGTATTCTCATTTCTCTCTCAAGGCACTCAATCGATCACAACTGGACTGCTCTGTTTCTCTTCGAAGGTGTGTGTAAATTCCATTTCCTTTTCGCAGTTTCTTCCACTTCGGTCACAGACGGTGACTCCAGTTGGAGCTTTCTATCTTGACGGCTTGAGGGCGTCGTTTGTCCACTATTACGCTTCCCTTTCACAACCTTCCGATTCTGTTTGCACATGGTCCAGATTCTAGACACTGCTGACTGAGATCAACCAACATCTTTTGCAACATTCTGTGATGATTTACCTTCTTGGGAGTTTTATAATGTTCTCCGTTGGTTTAATTGACACCGCTCGCATTGGAACCATGATTCATGTCAATCCACGTGGTGCAACAGCTCTCCAAGGTTTGATTACTCCGATTTAACTGCTGACTTAATATATTCAATATGATGCAGGTTTTTGTTTTAGAACTGAAAAATAAGCCAATTCCAGAACAGTTCCTAAGATTTGAGTGTTATTCTTATTTAAAAAAAAAACAACAAAAAAAAACTGTGACTCAATTCAACCTTTTTCTTGCCTTTCTCATGTGTTTGAAAAAGCCAGAAGGGTGGCATATTGAATAAGAATCGTTTGGTGGAACATCACGATTTGCCGTTTCCTTCAAAGCTAAATATTCAAATAATAATTCTCAAGGGGCAGAGATTCCATAATTTTCTCAGGGATTGTA